TGCAACAAGGGTCTCTACCTGAAAACATCTGGATCCAGCCAAAAGCAACTACTGAAAAAAAAGCTATTTGAGGGGATCAGACTGGTTGGTCTCTGTTCTCCTAAAATCCTTTGCAAATACAGGCTTTCTCATTCCCCAAAGAAAAGAGCTATGTCAGAGTACTCGTTTCCATGGGCTGCTATGATACATTACCATAAAGTGGGTGGCTCAGCACAGCAGAAATTCATCCTCTCACAGTTCTGGGGACCAGATGTCTGAAATCAAGTTATCAGCAGAGCTGCCCTCCCTCCAGAGGACAGTCCTTCCTTCCTCTTCCAGCTTTGGGTGGCCCCAGGTGTTCCTGGCTTCCATCTCTGCCTCTGTGGTCACAATGCCTCCTGCTCTTGCCAGTGTTATGTCGACTTTCTCTCTGACCCTTACATGGATGCTTGTGAGCATTTAAGACGCAGATAATCATGGTAATCTCTCCATCTCAAGATCCCAAATTTAACCACATCTGCAAAGACACTTTTTCCAAAAGATCACATTTCCAAATTCCAGGAATTATGACTTAATATCTTCAGGTGGCCACAATTCAGCCTTCAACAGTAATCTAGAATCTGAACTGGAACTTTCATTTCCCAATTCTTAGGAATAACAAGGGGGCTTTCATAACAAAGGGGCAAAACCTTCTTAGCAGATTTACCTTAGCCAATAAACTGATGTGAAATCGAAGCCAGATACTGGACTAGACACTGGAGATAGCAAAATATGCAGGACCTGGTCCTTGGACTCAAGAAACTACAGCAAGTGGACAGGACCTAACGAAAAATGAGTGTGCCAAGTCACCATGACGTCTGGGCCAACAGTCACTATTTTTAAATCCTAAAGTTGTCAATCTATCTACAAATAGCTTTTCAAATTTTAATAAAGTTATGCACTAAAATCCCTCTGGCCGGTCAAGCCAAGCGATCACACCCCAAAAGAGCCTGGCCAGATGAACGGCACCCCTCCAGCACGCCCTTGCTGTGGATGTGTGTGTTGTGCTTTGGGGTCGGGGGGCCACATGTGGCTTCTGTCATGTTTTTTTTTCAAGGAACAGTAGCTGATCTGGGAGAATGATGTGTGACATATAAACTTGACAAACACTATGCTTCCAAAGAAAGGGAAAGGACGGGGAAATGAAGACATTCACCATTTTATGTTGAGAACAGATGTACGACTACACCTATTTATGAAATAAATACTGGAGTGATGTGTCAGAGTTGGGATTAGAGAAAATGGCACAGGAACACCTAAATGGGTCTCAAACACTGGCCCTGTGCTACCAGCTCGGTTAGCTTAAACACCGGGCATGAGTTCCTCCATTCACCCAGTCCTTTTGGAAATAATTATCACAATACATAGTGAGTGATTAAATGTTTCTACCTTTAGAGGGTCCTCCTCTCTTCTTTATTCTTTCTTAGGAAATATTAAATAAAAGGGGGTAATGTCACATACAAGAAGATATGCGCTCCAACAGTACCTATTATAGAAAAGTAGAAACTGAAATAACTCTATAAGGACATGATTTCATAAAGTATGGCACATTAATCTGAATAGCACTTGAAAATACAAAAACTGATTGATACAGTCTAAAAAATTATAAAAGAGAATTACAATTAAAATGAATTCAAATTATAAAAAATGTTGACATGGGTTAAATTATGTAAAATACTAAGAAACTCAAAAATTTGTGGCAAGATGAGGAAGTCATGGATGGCTGTTTCCCTTTTTGAAACTGAGCTGTTCACTATTAATATTGCTTTTGCAACTGGAAAAAAAAAGTCATAGGGCAAAGGATTGAGGCCATCTAAGACATTCTGGGTCACAGTAAAACAGCAAGATATAAGATGATACAAAATCTGATAGAAAATGTCAAGTTAAAGAGGACTGCAAGGTGATGAGAGAAGAGGCAGCATGGATCTGTGCCAAGCCCTGGATGGAGCCAGGACAGGCCTGGGCACCTGTTGGCAGCAAACTGCTTGATCCTTCAGTTCTCATCTGGGAAACTAGGAAAAGAAAGCCAACATTTCAGATTTGTTATAAACTCTTAAAAAAAAATGCTATGTTACATTATATTATATATGGAAAATGTATGTTACATTGTTGGCATCTAATGAATTTAAGGCGTATTTTCGAAGACTGCATGTAAAAAGAAATAGGAAAACCATGTGTGTTAATGGAGGAGTGATGGAAAGGAAGCGAAGTCCATTAGAAGATACAATAATTGTGTAAAATTAATGACTAAATACATTAACGTAGCTAGGAATCAAAATGTTCACTGAAAGAGACACAAAATAAAAGATATAGAAAACCCCGAAAATGTTAAATTTAAATAGGAAATACCATTATAAACTTTTGATTTTTAAAAGTGTATTTCCCAGCTCTTCCCACTGAAAAGTCCGAGGCAGTAACACCCTCATAAGAACAAGCCAGCGCCCAATCCCTTGTTTCCGAGCACCAGCCCCAACTAAAGGAACCAGGGCCTCTGAGAGAAGAGTGACTTCCCCGTCAGAGGCAGGACAAATCCAAAGTGAGCCTGGAACATTTTATTTGCCAAAAGCAAGCACAGCTCAAAGGCTGAGGGTACAGCAGCCAGTTTGAAGGGACTCCCATCAATCTCATTGGGACAATTTGAGCTACTCAGAGAATACAGTAAAAGCTTATAATGCACTGAGTTTAAAATGAATAAATCCATGAATTTATACCGATATAAAAGATTAAGAGAAAAAGAAAAGGAGTGAAGAAAGCTCTCCTCTACTGAAAAATGCTAAACAATACACAGAGAAGAGAGAGAGAACTAGAAAACTCACCACTTTTCCAACACCAGTGTAGCAACTGGTTCGGAGAAGGATCACCATGGATGTCAAGACCACTGGTTGAAAGGCTGCTGGGCAACAGGATACCCCACATCCCCTGGAAGCATCTGTTAACTAACTGCAAACAAAAATGGGTTCTGTACAGTGGAAACATCTAGTGGACACCACCTTAACCAAGGTATCAAATTGACCATCATCAACGCCAGGACAAGGTGCCTCCTGAGGAGACACAATAGGTAGTGGAGTCTCTCCTAACCTGCACCCCGAATCCAAGTCATGAGGAAACAATCAGATGAGTCCAGAACATGGGCCCTTCAACGAAATAACAGGGCCTGGATTTTCAATGTCATGAAAAAACAAAGGCAGGAGTCTGTTCTAGACTTAAAGAGATACAACTAAATATAATACAAGAATGGTGACCAAATCCTGGATTAAAGAAGGAAAAAAGGCAATGAGGCATTTGAGGTGGGGGGTGGGGAGATCTGATTTGAAAATGAACTGGATATTATGTGATATTTGACATGACTGCTAACCCTTCTAAATACGATAATTGTAAGAAGGTTTTTACTCATAGAAGATAAATCCTGAAGTATTATGTCTGCAGCTTATAGTTAGATGGTACCAGCCAAAAAAAGAAATTATGTGTGTGCATGTTTATGTGTAGAAAGAGCATTAAAAACTAAAAAGCGCAAAGGTGTCCAAAATGTTAATGATTAGTCAGTCTAGGTGAAGCGTATCTTTTGTGCATTCATCGTATTCTCTTAGCTTTTCTGTAATTTAAAAAAATGTTTATCAAGAAGGAAAAAATTGATCTTAAACCTTGAGTCAGATAATTCATACTGCATGTGAGCTTAGTCACACTTCCTCTGAATCTTATAAGCACACGGGATGTGGAAGCAACCAAATTTTCTTCACAAAAAAAAGTTTGATAGAATAAATTTATGTTCTGTCTAGCTTCATCCTGAATGAACTAGTGTGAAATATACCTCAGCCTCTCCCTGCACCACCCCACAGAGACCCTGTGAGGGACGGAAGGCTCGCTCGTACATGACACTTCCTACCAAGCAAAAGACCCCACCTTGGGGAGGAGATGGAAAACAGAAGTAACTCAAGTAACCGCTACTGGAACAGAGACGGTATAGTCCAGCCATCCGCCAGGGTATTACAGCGAGTGCAACTGCCTTCCACCTGCAAGACCTTCATCTGAGAGGTTACTTCCGTGAATGACAGAACAACAGGTGCGTAAGAATGGGGATGCGCTGGTGAAAACTGAGAGCATTCAGTTAAGTCAAGAGATTTTATACTCTGGTTATATTGCAACCCCATGCATGTGGGAAAAATCAGCCACGGGATCAACAGAGAAAGCTCAAAGCTAGAGAATGCTACCTCAGAATGGCAGCCAACTAACCTACCAAAGGGAGTGCAAGCAGGCGGCAAGGGCAGCAGGCTGTGTCTACTACAGTTCATACAGAGAAGGCTGATTTTTCTAGATTACACTTGGTTATTAGGGGACGTTTGTGTTCCTGCTACCAATATTTTGGAGCCCCAAATTCGGCACTTCATGGTGAAAGCCAACTGCAATCTTACACAGCTTAGGAAAGATTCATTTTTAAAATACATAAACAGAGAAGACGGGTAAGGGGAAAAAAATCCAAAGGCATTTTGCAAAGTGTCCTATTTACTTTTAGATGGCTCAGTTTCTCTCTTCTGGCTTGGGCAGAATGCTTTTCTTGGGGATTTGGAGTCATTATTCCGTCTGTTAGATTTATAGCATTTAATCATATGTGACATTTAAAAGTTATCGGAGCACAGAGAAAGATTATAGAAGTTATGTTCACAGTGCTATGTTTTTACATTTATTCACAATTGTTACAGTTGCCTTGAAAAATACCAGTACCACATACACTCAAGTGTATCTTCACACCACTAGACTACAGTAGTTGTGAAACCACAAAAAGTACACATAGAGAATCCCCAACTGTGATAAGAACACTGAAGGAAATGCTAAGGGTATTATTTCTAAAATAATGTATTAATTGCAATAGGTAAAGAAAATGCTCTTAAGAGATGGGAAGGCAGACACTGACTTCCTAATCATCAAAGCAACAGAAAGCTGTTTCAAACCAAAAAATTAAAAGAGATCATTAAAAATAAACATACCCATCTTTGGTCTGATCCACCACACCACTTACAAGTTCCACAGTCTTTGGATTAGGCTGGCTTTCTCCAAAAATTTTCAGATATCGAGTGACGAAGTCATTGGGAGACATGAAAAATTCACCATTTTTTTCAATGCTTGCATACTGTTTAAAAAAAAGAGAGAAAAGATGTTTTATTCTCAAAAGTATATAATCGAGATCAATATGTGAAAGAGCTGAAAATACTCAAAGGATAAAATACAAGATATGACAATATACTCTTCACAAGGATAGTTATTTCCTGTCACTCCAAAGAAAAAGCAAAGACACATTCAGTTTGTCAAGCTTTATTTTCATACCCGTGGTTTTGAACTGGGGGCAGTTTAGCCTGACTGTCCAACTTACCAACACCAACGTTCTCCATAGCAAGCACCATGCAGGAGAACTAGCCTTCTCTGTATGTGACCTGCCTTTGGGGAACGAAATTCTCTAGCTCTGAGCTGCCTGTTTTCTTTTTCCCCACAGGGGACATCTTGCAGTGTCTGATGACGATTTGGACTGTCACAGCTTGGGGGAGGGGACTCTACCGACATCTAGTTAGTACAGGCCAGGGATGCTGCTCAACACCATACAACTCACAGGGTGACCCCTGACTACAAAGTAATGCAGCTCAAATGTCAGCAGTGCTGAGGTTCAGGAACCCTGGTTTACAGAAATGTGGAAGACAAATTATGTCTTGTTCTTTAGCAAGGACATAGAGCTTTTTTTAAAAAAGTAGAATTATGAAATCATGGATGAAAACAACCTAACTCTTTCTCCTCCATTCCTGTTTCAAGGGCAACAATGATGCCAAAAAAAAAGGGGGATGACAAACAAGCTAAGCTAGAAAGCAGAGACTGTTAACAGCATGGCTTCTGTGGGATTTTACGAAAGCAGGTAAGAAATGCTGCTGTAGTTGGTGTCCTCTACATTCTAGAACAGAAAGAGTCAGTAACAACACGGTGGCATGTGACCTTTTTTCACAGCTTTCCCCCCGGATACCACCCATGATACATTCCTGGAAGTGGAACCTGCTCATTCCTGCTCCATGGAGCCCTGGGGGCAGCGGGAAATGCTGAGAAACAACATGGCGATCATGTGCATCCTTGTGGCGCAGGAGAGAGTATCTTGATCCTGGGGATCGAACAGTGATTTGGGGGAGTGGGGAGGTGACGACCATGAGCCACTAGAACAGACCTAGCTGGGTGACAACAGCCACTGGCGGCCACAGTGATGGGGGAGCATGGTGAAGGGAGCTGTAATGACAGCAACTCTGCTCCCTCTGTGCTGGCAGTTAAGCCCAATTAAAACTGTTTTAAAAAGTTACATGTTATTTCTACATTTCAGTCATCCCAATGCAGGATAAGCTCTTGGTTAGATACCCAGTTACAGGCTGTGGAGTCCCTCGGGCCTGCGCTGTGCGGGGCCCTGCTTCTGCCTCTGCCTCTTATCACCCGTATGACCTCAGGTAAGTGGCTAGTTTCCTAGGTCTCTGGCCCCCCACCTGCAAAATGGGGTAAGAACACTACCTGCTTTTAACGTTTACGCTAGAAATAAATTAACAATCATCTAACATAACTAGTACAATGCCATACACACAATAAGCACTTGATAAAGCACTAGAATATTGGTTTTTATTTAACATTTTTTAGCATAGCACAAAAGAAAAGCCCAAAGATGGCCCAATAATCCTAGTATTCTTCAGTTAGCATCGAAGTCGGCTTTCTGCAATCGTAGAATTATATTTTGATTTTCCTTACTGAGGCAAAACAAAACTGAAATATAAAAGAAATGTCACCACTAATTACAGCAATCCTATGATTTAGAATTATACCTATGTTTGCTTATCATAGTGAATAATTCATTTATTTAAAAACACAATTTAACTCCTCTCCCACCAGCAGACATTATTAGATTATTATTGGATTATTTCCAGTTTTTAGGATTTTTAAATAAAACTAAGGTAGCCAGCTTTGTATACATCATTTGTCCAAATTCCTGGCAACTTTCAAAGGCTAGACTCCAGAAAGAGAAACTGCTGAGTCAAAGGAGAGGAACTTTAAGGCTCTTGATACTTATCACACTGCTCTACGAAAAAGATTGTACCAATTTATACTCCCACCAACAGTGTGCGAACATGCCCTTTCCCCTCTTTGTCTATCATACTTCTGGCAAATATTCTTCAAGTTTGATATTATTATATAATTGAGTCTATAGATTTTATTCTCCTTTGCAATTTCTTCCATTACTTCTAAGTTTAGAAACTAGTCCTTCCTCATCTCAAGACTGAATACTCACCCACATGTTCTCTTAGTTTTTTTGAGTAGGTTTCTTTGATCTTTATGTTTAAATACACTGGCACTTTGTTTTTATATGTGGTTTGAGATAAGGATCCTCCAACTTGAGTTTCTTCCATTTACTCTCTTGGTTGTCCCAGGACCACACATCAAATCATCCTCCCTTCTGCGCTCTTTGGGATGCCATGCATCCCACATACTAAATTATCATACAGTCACCAGGGGAAGACTTAGCAATCAAGTCCACCTTCAGTACCAGTTCTGATCGATTGGCAATGGCCTCCTAAGGTCAAGATGTACTCTGAGGCTGTCCCCAAACTCCATGAGAGAATGCCAGGACGAGCTGACAGCTCTTGTCATCACTGCAGCAGGAAACATTTCAGGACTACCCTTGGCAACTCTTGTAACACAAGAGTACATGCATCTTAATTGCTGTGACTAGGGGGAAACCTCCGTCAGGACAGGATTTTTCTTCCCTTCTCACTGCCATACCCTCGAGTTCAGACTGTTGCCTGCCAGATAATGAAACATGTTCAGTAAGGATCCACTGAATGAATATGAGGTTAAAAAACATTGCAGCATTACTTTTCTCTTGGAAGTCTTCTTGGCCATAATCAATCACTCTTTGATTTTCCCCCAAAGGATCTTTAGAATCATTGTCAAGCTGCTGACCCCTAAAACAGTTCCACTGAAAATGCAAAATAAAACTACAATGCAATGTCACCATTCATACACAAGATAATTAAAAAGAAATCACAAGTGTTGGCTAAATGTGGAGCAAATGCAACCTGTGAACCGCTTTAGAAAACTGCTTGATGATATCTACTCAACTGAACACACACACAAGCACAGGCTCAGCAATTTCAACCGTAAGTGCATCTCACAGAAACGTGTGTGTAAACACACACATATATGGTGGGGGGAGCATGTGTGTGTAGGTACACACACACATAACAGAAAACATGCTTTAGAATTTTAATATCCACAGCAATATTATTTTGATGTTGTGTGCCATTTTGTTTTTTGGTTTTTGGCTGCTTTTATCATTCTCTGTTCTCTTCTTCCTTTTTCAGTGTCTTCCCTTGTGGTCTGATGATTTTCCTTAGTGATGTATCTGTGCTCCTCTCTCTAGTTTTTGTGTCTCTACTGTAGCTTTTTGATTTGTGGTTACAATGGAGTTCACATATGTTAACCTGTAACTACTTGTTTTCAACTGACAGTCATGTAAGTTCAAACCCATCCTATAAGATCTACATTTCCTACTCCCACCTCCACTACGTTTTGTTTTTGATGTCATATTTTATATTTTCATGTCTCTCTTAGCTGTTCATTGTAGTTTAGTTAATTTTTCAACTTTCTTTTAAAGTTCATACTAGTTAATTTAAGTGTTTGATCCACAGCCTGGACTATATACTTGCCTTTACCAGTGGGATTTTTCCCATCCTATACTTTTTTTTATTTCTTGTTGTAGCCTTTTCTTTTTCACTTAAAGATGACCCTTTAATACTTATTGTAAGGTCAGTTTAGTATTGATAAACTCAGTTTTTGCTTGTCTGAGCAGCTCTTTATCTCTCCGTTAATTG